TTAAAGGCGTAACATCCTTGTCTTATCAAGGAATTCAGACGTAAAAAGCTGATCTCCATAATATACCCGTTCATCTCTCCGGGGTTCGGAAGATAACGTGTAGTGTGGTCATAAATGGCCTACACACGAATAATAATAATAATAATAATAATAATAATAATAATAATAATAATAATAATAACAATAATAACAACAATAATACCTTAAAGATTTTGAAATACTTCACTTCCATTTTTTTAACGAAATGAATGAAATATTACATATAAGTTGGTCACTAAATGTGCAAGCACACACATTTTCTTGGGACACATTATATTTTCCTTAGTACAAGATCCAAGCTGCATCCACGGAAATAATCGACGTTTCCCTGCGGCCCTCTTCTAAGTTTCGCCTTTTACAGACACTATTGTACTTCCTCCTCCCTTACCTTCCGCTCTTTCTCCGATATGAGGGGAAGGGATGGCAGGGTACGGCAGCGTGGTGGGGGAGATTGTTGAAGGGATAAAGGGCAGAAGCGCCGCTTGTGGACCATCAGTTGCCCTCGAGGAGAGCTCTCCGAAATCCAGCATCTCTCTGCACGTAAGTTACGGCGAATAGAGCTCGTGCGGCTCTTTGAAAAAATACATAAATGATTTTCAGTTTTAATTCTTGTGAATGTGATTGTGAGTGGTAATTCTTTCTATGATACATTGCCACCAAATAGTGCGAATCTGGTGACAATATATCATAGAAATATGACCTTCTAGAACTTGTAAAATTAGCGGAGCTATTTTCACCGCATCAGTTTTTGTGGACTTCTGCTAGTATATCTATTTTATTAATTGGATTGTTGGTGAAGTAGATACCTTTTTTATTTTGATAAATAAATAGAGATATTGTCAGGTATCAATATTTTAATTATTATATATAATAATCATATATATTGTTTTCGGCCCAGAAGCTGCAAGCTCTGAGGATGATCGCTACGCGATCGAAATGATCATTAGTTGAATTAAATTATTGATACCTGACAATATCTCTATTTATTTATCAAAATATCTATTTTAGTTAGCGGTTCATTGCATAAGAAATTTACTGCGTGTAAACAAAAAAAAATACATTTTTGCGTGTTAGAACTCGATGAATCCGGTTAGAGACATCATATAACCTTGTTTTACTCGTGATATTTATCAGATAAGTCATCGACATGTAAGTTTTCCGCGTGAAGTGTTTCTCAAATGTGAGCGATTCCACTTTCGAATTGGCGTCTTTCTTGCTTGTTTTTCAGTTTTGTTTGTGTGTCGTATGTGTATGTAAAGGTGTCTTATATACAACTGAGAATTGTTTCCGTTGTAAAAGTTTTTAAACTAATTATAGAGGTTTATAAAACAGCATTTTCACTTTGAGCCACTTGGTTGAGAGAAAACGAGACTGAACATTGATCTTCAAAAATATTACAAATTTAGATATATTTGTGAAGAATTATGTCATTTAGATTTTTAAAGTAATTGTTGCATTTAAAATATTAATTTTCATTTAAGTTTAGTTTAAAAATACTTTGTACATTCTGCTACTGATATAATTCTGCGACAAACCCTTGAAAGATCTGCTACAAATTACAGACGACATATATCACTAATTTAATTTATTCGTTTGATATTGAATGTTTTGCCTTTGTTTAAGGCATGTAATGGCATAGTATTTCATTTTTGATTTCTCAAAAATTTAAGATTTTATCATCATTCTTTATTAATTGTTCAATTGGTTTTATAGTACTTCGTAATATTGTTTTGTAGCACGGTTCAGTCATCGAACATCTAATTTAATTGGAATTGAGGATAATCGATAGAAATGAAAGAAAATTCAGATGATATTTACTAGGCAACGAGAGTAATGAAGTTATTGACTCATTACACATCACGCAATCCACATACAGCAATGACACGACCACTTGAAGGTACTAATAAACTAGTTATATTACGATAAAAACAATAGATATCTACAAACTATCGCTTTGACAGCGTTAAGAAATATAATATTTAATTAATATTTTAAAGATATTATTGCACTGTTTATTTCCGTAATACATTAAAAATACTTTAAATAAACACTTTTTTTAAAATTTAAGAGCCATATTGTGTAGAATAATGCTGGTGAATGTTGTCTGTATTTCACGGATGGTTACCTACTAGATCGTTAGTAACCAAAATCTTGAGGGAAGAGTTTTAAATAGAGCTGATTTATCAATAGTTAAACAGGATAATTTTTGTGTAAATAACATTTACATTAAATATTAGAGTGACAAAAAGTATATCTATTTACTACCTGAAACATTAACTCACTATAAGAGAAGCATAAAAAACATTGAGGTTACAATACTTTTATTCCCAAGAACTTTTCCATTTGTCAAGTGGCTGCTAAGGCTCCTATGATGGAGATCTGGCAGAGAGATGGCTAAGGAAGTTTGCATACGTTCGCGCGTATGTAGCACGTTGCAATGATGCTACGATTATATAGTTTTCCTATTAGTCTAGGTATTTTGTTAGTGCCACATAACAATTCTAAAATGACCGCTTGCAAATTGTGAGTAAAGATAGATCTCCAGGAGGTAATGAAGAGGAGAATTAAGAGGTATTAAGTCAGAATTAAGAGGTATTATTGCTTAAGAGGTCCTAAAGAAGTTGAAATTGGTGTAGGTGAAGGAGGGATATATGCGGATTTCTACCCGAAATTGCATCTACATTATACAGACCAAAGTAAAGTAGATGTGCAATCAGTAGTAGCTCGATATCAACTTTTACTTTCTCGTATACCTATGTAGCACAGAACAAATTTCAATAAGTAATGCTGCAAAAAATTATATTTCGCGTTTTATTAACTATACGTTTTGGAGGTCTCAGATACCGAAAATGTTTGTTTTAAAATTCTTATTGAGCTCCAACCGAACTCCTACCGAACGCAACCCGCAATCCATTGATCAGTGAGACTAACGCAAGCATTAACGTAAGTTGTGTTAAAAGGAGAACTCACATCTATAGTCATAAACACAGGCGCGCCCAAGATGTTTCTTGTGTGTGTGTGTGTGGGGGGGGGGGGAGTTACAGGTACATCGTTCAGATGTCTTGATGTTTTCTTATAAAATAATTTTAATTTATGCTGAATATAAAATGTATGTTAATTTTGGTATCTTGTACGTTGTTACGTAAACAATTGGTGTATTTAGTACGTTGTTACGTAAACAATTGGTGTATTTAGTGAATTTGTTAGTATCGAAAATTAGTAAAAGCTAGATGTTTGAATATGTATCATTGGCTTCGAGGATGGAGAGTGAAGCCCTATGAGCCCAGTACCCCTCTGGTCATATGGGATGAGATTCTGAGATAAGAAGAATGTTCTTCCGATATATCTGTGAAATAAAATTTTGAATTTCTGGATTTTTAAAAGAAATCTCCACAGTATTGTGTCTACCCGTTTGGAATTTGTGTAGTAGAGCGACAGCCCCAGATCGTAAAAATACCAACTTCAAACCTTCATTTAGGCGAATGCAGGAGTAGGACTGTATAAACAAACGAGCGACGATCTTCCCTTCCTCTTCCTTGTCCTATCTCTTCTCTTACCTCCAACGTACACACACACATACGCTAACATGCTCTACATTACCACACAAGCCGGGACACCGGTCTGGAGCTTGGAGCTTGACGCAACTGGGGCGGTGTCCCGCTGGTGGGAGATACCTGGTTGAGGCAAACACCACCAGCCGACGGTAGGTCGGCGCCGGATCTCGCCATCCAGCGGGGAAAGATCACAGCCGCCTCACAAGGAAAGAACATGCACTACACGTGCGGACTGATGACCTCTCTAGTTGACGCGCCCGGAATCACTAACATCCAACCAATCAAACCTTCATTTCAGGGAAACCGAAATATTTTACACAACTGGCCTTATTCGGGTGTCAAGTACTTCCGAGAAAAAATAATTTAGCCTAATGGAGCTCCTAGTAATTGTGACCTGCAAATCCAGGGCGGACAATTTATCTTTCGTCGAAGATGAAGCGGGCGCCTCGGCGACCTGGAGGTCGGGGACTGCGGAGCACAGCGCCCGTGCGACGCGGCCGGCGTGCCATTCGATTGAGTAGTGATTCCGGGCGCGTCAACACCTGTCATTTGTCCCGTATGCGTAGTGTGGGTTTTTATTTCGTGAGGCGGCAGTGATTTCCCCCCGATGGATGGTGAGATTCGGCACCGATCTACCTGCAAGCTAGAGGGGATTTCCTTAATCAGGTATCTCCCATCAGCGAGGCACCGCCACAGCGTCAAGCTCTAAGCTCCCGACCCGTCTCCCGGCGTATGAGGTAGTGTTAATTGTAATGTAAGAGTAATGTAGTAGTGTTAAGTGTGTGTGTGATGATAGGACAAGGAACGAGAAGGAAAGATCGCGTGCGATTCGTGGCTCGTTTGTTGGGATACTGTTCCGGCATTCGCCTGGTACTGATCGGAGAAACCACGAAAAACTACCGATAAGAGCAGCCGACCGCTAGAATTCTCCTCTAGACAGCGTTGAATTCGACATAGCTATCTACGAATAGCCAGTGTCGAAAATCTTGCCGCCGTCGAGACTCAAACCTAGGATCTCCCAATCAGTGCTTATGCTTAAGGAAGACATAAGAAATTAACCAACCACAGAACGGTAACTCAAAATCGAGTCGAAGTCGATAGAAGAACTAAGGCCATTTGGGCCATGGACACAATCGATACCTTGAAATCGATGGTACATCCAACCAATAGTAAACCAGAATGTCTCACAGCCAATAGAAACTGTTATTTTGCTTACGTTTATGTTAGGCATTGTGAATACTTGAGTCTATCACTTATGTTAATGTGTATGTTTGCGTTTGCATTGTGAATGGGCCGAGGGTGGAGCGAGCCCTTCGCCGGGCGATCGAAGGACGCCTCGGCGCGCACGGAGGCCTCCCCGTTTGCCGGCGAACGACAGTTTCCTCGTCGCAGGAGCGGCCGCCGAGGATGGAGGAAGGCTACTGCACCGTGCCTGGCCTGGGAGTGACTTCGCCACGGGATTTGCGACGGACCTACCACTCTGCAGTCTTCGCCCACATGACTGACCCCTCCGCCGCCAAGAGCGGCTTCCCGCCCCCGGCCCCGCCCCCCGCCCCCCGGCCCCGGCCCACTTTCCCCCATCACGCCACCCAGGTAATGGCTCTCCTTCGCTTTGCTGTATCCACCTGTGCTTATTTACGATATTTGTTGGGATCTAACGGTCCACACGGCAAGTCACCCTTTTGGGAATACCGGCGTGCCAGTCCCGGTCAAGCTAATTACGGAACACGAGTTGATGATGGTAGACAAAGCTGATATGCGGCCAACTTCTTTCTGGTTTCGTGGCCAGAGTCATTCCACACCATATTGTGATCTTCTTCAGAGAAGCTCTAAGGAAGACAGACCAGCCCTGAGGAAGACCACGACAAAATGGTTGAAACCACAGCCTTCTACGCGGCGTCATGGCGGGACAGCCAAGATCATTTCCGTTCTTCTTGGTTTTCCTATAGCCCAGCATTTACTTTCGTACCAAGACCATTTTTATATCATCTACCGCATCATTTTTCTTACTTAGAATCATCAGATCATCAACCACCACCACCACTATAACCACAACAACAATGACAACTACATTTAAAGGTCTTGCAACATAGATGTGGCTCCTTGGGGAAGACAAGGTAGAAAGTCTACACTGATGAATATATACTAAATCAACGCATTTCATACACAAGAACATTTAAGTGATTCTTACACTTTTGTATTTTCCATCTGTAAATATGAAATTAACACCTCATTATCGTGCCTCGAGCTACTTCTCAAATCAAGGGTTTCATAAGTCATAGCCCGCGCTAAAGGCCTCATCTCTCTTCGCCGCGTCTGTCCTCACGCGCGAGCGTAGACTCGTTTGGACACGGACGCGCTCCGGGCCCCATTCTGTGGAACTGAAGGAGCTTCGCCCACACACGAAGCTCGAACGCTATGCTCAGGCAGGCAAATTCTGATTCCGCCTGACCGCATAGAAAACCTCTATTTTCAGCCACATTAGCACTTTGGCGCTTGTGCTAAATTGTCATGTAAACACGCGAAAAAGTGATTATTGTTTACAAAGTATTAATTATTTATTATTTAATTTTTTCGTATACATGCATACGGAGTAATATACTTAGTATAAAGTTAAGTAATTATGTGGTATTTCGGTATTTTCGGTATTTTAACGGAAATAAACGTTTTGGGGACCCCTGACATTGAAAAAAAAATATTTTTTTTCTTTAAACGCCCGCCCGTCTGCCTCTCCGTCCGTCTGTATGTGAACATCACTAGCGCCTGCACTATTCCTGAGAATTTTTCCGAAATGAACAGTCCTTGATCAATCTGCACTGAGTTAAAGCCTTGTGATTTTGAAAAACTTTCCTTAAATTATTAAACTTTTCTTACTTTCCCTTTACTTCACGCCCCTGAGAATTTTTTAATTTTTTCTCACAAGTGACCCCAATTTTTTTCTTTAAATTTATTGAAAAAATAAAGTGAAATAGACTTATAAAAACGGTATAGTGTAAGTACGATTTTTATAGTTAATTATACATTTTCGAAATTAGCAAAAGTTTTAACTTTTTTTGACTTTTTCGTACAACTACATCATTGAAGGAAGATATTTTTTCTTCATGTAGAATATGTTAGTTTCAGTTACTTCTTTAATTAATGTCATGTATAATTTTTTTGAAAATATTAGCCGTTTACACGCAATTTGAGTGAAGTTTGGGAAATATTAAACAATATATTTTTTCAAAAACTGATCCAATTTTTTCTTTAAATTTTTGTTCGGAAACTGTTAAATGCACTGAATAACGTTATATCAACGCCATATTGAGGTTTTTTTTTTTTCAAAAGTTACACTAATGTATTTTTATATTTCTCACGTTAATATTTACATTATGGGCATTTTAATATTTAATTGGATTGGATTTACTTAATCAAAAAACGGTAAAAACTATATGTGACGTATGGGGAAGAAGATCATCTGCGCACGTTTTCTTGAGTTCCAGAATCCCTCCCTATAATTTTAACTATAAATAGTTGGAGAATGAGTAAAAATTAAAGATAAATAAATAAAATTTAAAAAGCGTGAGATTAGCAACATTTGAAAAACTAAACATTTTCGTTTCCAAGTTATAGAAAACTTATTTGCAACGGTAAACGAACGGCAGGTTTGATTTTTCTGCATTGCTAATAAAAAAGTAACTCATTACGTCTACTCCAACCACAAGAAGCAAAAAGGAGAGTTCAAGAAAACGTGCGCATACTGAAGCTACATTTATGCCCAGAAGCAAAAGAAGCGGCCGACTCAGCATTTGCTCAATGTATCAGGGAAACTGAACAAAAACCTGATCGAGATGGGGGTCATTGACCCGGAAGCTGAAGTACATTATTAGTTAGAAGCATATTAAGTCTTCTTAAAAAATATATGTAATACAAAGTAAACTAATTCATTATATCACTGTTTTGTAAATTTTCTTCTTGAAGATCAGTATAGTCTCTAATTGTATAGAAACAGTTATACAGTAGAAAGGATTTTAGGTAGAGGTAGGAAAGGATTTCTGGTAGAGAGCTATTGATGCAGACACTTGATGTATGTGGTTTCTACGACGTGTGTTGTAATTATAAATATCAGTATTGCATGAAAATATGTTCCCACCGTTAAGTAAGTCACTTTTGACAAATATTACAGATTCGTAAATAAATACGCTAGGCAATAAAAAGATTCCAAGCTCAATGAAAAGAGGCTTTCTGGGAACATGCGGATGGCATTGTTTGATTATTCGAATAATTTTCTTTTGCAATCTAAAGGTCTGGGCGCTGGGCATCTCAGGCAGGAATGCACATTTGCAAAATGCACGCAACGTGCTGCGTGAAGGCTGACGGAATTTAAAAGAATTGTGAATGCGAAACGTAATGAACTTAATTTTGTGTATAATTCCGTTATATGTATATTTATAAGTACAGGTACTTCACATGATTTCTTATGAAGTTTCTCGAAAACTCAAATGTTTTCTGTAAAAATGAGCTCAACATTTTGCATAAAAATGCTGATTCTCCCTATAGAAAAAGTAACTTGCTCTACCCCAATAATTAAGTCTGAGCCCCGGTGGAATGCACCTATAGCGTGGCCCCACGATGGCCGATTCGCGATAATAATAATAATAATAATAATAATAATAATAATAATAATAATAATAATAATAATAATAATTTGTATTATTAGTTTTTTTCATTGCCATAAACAACAATACTATTATTTTACCACGCATGCCACATCCATGAGTAATATAGTTTAACCCAGTAGCTATTAGCTCGGCGCACTCCATGTGACGTCATTCATTCCGGTCCGGTCACGCCGACAATTGCGTTGAGGAAAGTTCAATATTGGGTTGTGGTACTGCCTTCCCTATTACGTAATTAATGAAGTGCATTTGATGGTAAATGCGTGATACTCCTGAATGAGTTTGGCTTGGAGCTTCCGGTTCTTCTTGTTCCTACCTCCCTTCTTCTCTGCCCCTATCTCATATTTTGTTTTCATTCTCTATGTTCATTCGTACAATTAATTTGTAGTTAAATTAATCATTCTGAACATTAATCGACTAGAAATACTAATTATTTTATTGAACATTGAACTTTTGTTTCCTATATTGTGGTTTGAAATTTATTCAAAAAACGTTTATGCACATATTCCCACTACATGAAGTATTGCCAGAGAAGCAGATCCCGTTTTCTAGTCACTCAGTTTTGTGGAACATTGTGCTGTAACACATTATATTTTTTTAAAACCCTTGAACGCAGCTAAGAACATTCATAATTTGATTGAAGGTAAAATTTTAGAGATATAATACGCCCTTAGATGAAGAATTTGGAAGTGCACATTGTGAACCCATAGAATTCGTCGCGATCGTCGGGAGCGCCTTGGGTAGCTTGAACAGGGCAAACTATCAGCATTCAACGTAAATAGCTAGCTAGCTGGGTGCGGCCAGGATCACTGGACATGGGTGTGTGCGAATGTGAGTAAGCCGTTCATTGTTATAGACACAAAAGTTTTCCTCTATGTCTAGTACAAAACGTACTAATCTAATACATCCCTTTTCACTTTAGGTGTCACAGTAGTTGCATACCGTTGCAGGCACTAAGCGTATTTCTCAAACATGCCAAGTTTACAAAATGGTAAGAAACAAAATTATTTCCACTTTTAGTCACAATTGGCACTACTTATAACTGCAACGTCTTAAAGAGTGCTAAATTTTTGAACTGTATAATCAATGTTTTGACACTTTTTCGTAGAATTTGACCTCAGAAATTGTGAGAAAAGTATTGTTTGTTGACTTTCATGATATTTTTGTAATAAGGTACATTCCGAAATTTTTGGAGCTTTTTATTTTTATTAACTAGTCATATTTTTTTGGTAACATAATATATTATCGAAATGGAAGTTGACCTGCGGGTAGTCATCCGGGTTAGGGAATTTCTCCGCCGTCGGACTCCGCGTCTTCGAATTGATGACTTTCTTTCCGACGAGGTTTACGTGACGTTTGGCGTCCCTCAGGGAAGCGTGTTGGGGCCATTCTTTTTGCTTATGTGTGTTAATGATATTGATATTGAAATTCGATCGCCTAGCAGACTTTTTCCGGGTGCCTGCATAGTGTATCGAAAAATTAGAGACAAATCTGACATTTATCCGTTGCAAAACGATATTGACGTATTTATGAAATAGTCCCATGTAAACGGAATAAATATTAATCCAGATAAAAGCAGAATGGTTAGTTTCACAAAGACTCGAACACACGGAAACATTTCACTATACAATGGGTTGAAATAAACTCCCTGAGGAACGTAGTTGTAAATATATGGGCATAATAATTCGAAGCGACCTCAGCTTGACTGATCACATAAGATGTACTACACGGGAGACTTCGAAAGCTCTTCATTTTGTTATGCGTGTATTAAGGAAAGCGAAAATTCAGGTATTCATATCTTCGGTTCGTCCCATAATGAAATACGGAGTAGCTTGAAGGGATCCTCGCAGGGAAGGTCAGATTAAAGTGTTAATCCGAGAGCGGAAAAAAGTGGTGAAATTCGCGAGTAGAAACAACGGGGAAAATGTCAACTAGGAATTATTAGTTACACATAGAAAGACAACACGACTGTGTCACAAGGCGAACAGAAAACAAGGCGTACACAAAGCAACCGGCATGGAAAGCTTATCAGTGGAAGACTGATATCGGTGAAAGACCGGAGAGCTATCATTGAGAGCGGCGCCGATGGTGTAATGGTTAACGTTTCGGACTGTTATGTTCCGCAGGTCCCAACCCGATCGACGCTGTGGATTTTTAAGGGTGAAAAAATCCTTCGTACGGCTTCCTTCGGAGGGGAAGTAAAGCCGGCTGTCCCATTTTAGTATATTTACGTGCATGTAAAAGTTCCTCAATTCTAAATGACGCCTTTGAGCTAAATTAAAATTGCTAAAATGCCCAAGAACCCTCCTTTCTCCGCTAGTTGGTGGAAGGAGCGTAGCGAAATTTGCATGGTCAGACGGTAGAGCGGGCCTGATAGCCCGAGTCTCACCGCGTAAAATAAGGCATCAATTCAATTCAATTCAAAAAGACTTGAAATGCCATGCTAGTTAAGCATGGGCAACCATGCACACAAAATAAAATGCAGAAAGCAAAGAGCAGATGCAAGAAAATTCAGCTTTGTAAAGAGCCCAAGTTGACTTGAATAATTTACTTGCAGAGGTGTAAGCCACACTTCTCAGAAGCACGCGAGTTATGCGTTCGAATTTTCTTGAGAACTCAAGTGCATACTGATGTGCAGGGAAGTGCAGTGAAGACTAACAAAGGTGCGGGCAAAGTGCGACGTATATACTTACCATTAATGAATAAATTACTGGTAACTGAAGGGAGATGCAGTGAAGTGAAGAAATGGGAATGGAGTAGAGATGGGTACATTTTATCTATTATGTTATACTTGTCTATTTGTGTTTTCATTTACTTTATTTTATTTTTGTTTGTTTATTTGCATTTTTATTTATCTTTTTTAATATTTGTGTGTATTACTTGTTCTAATTTTTACTTTATTGCACTTACTAACGTAATAAGAGAAAGTATTGAAATCGTTTTTGTGTGGAAAATGAATTTTCCACACAAAAACTCTCAATGTCGAGCCCTGGTAACAAAAAAGTGTATAAATCCAGTTGCTAAATATAGAAAAAATCCTCTAATACGTGGTGTAGCCAGAATCCATGTTTGGGGCGTCCTTCACGCCGAAAAATCTAGTAATGGCAAAACTGTCTGACCGTCTGTGCACAACGCTAGCGCATAGGCTGTTCAGTCAATTTTCTTCAAAATTTATCCCAATCGTTCTGGCTGATGTTGCGGCCCCAGGATTTTGAAACATATTTTAATTTTGAGGGGTACTTTACATGAAGCCCCTGGGACACTTAAAATTTTCAAAAAAATTGCACCAAATTGTTTGATTAAATTTGTATGTTGAGTAGTGCGAAGGACGTTGAAGAGACTGGAGCAGATCTAATTTTCGATATCATCCCCGATTTTTCGAAAGTTGTTAAAAATATTTTAAAATTACAAAGTTGAAGATAGAACTTTTTGCCTCAGGCAAAATACATTGCACAAAATTAGCTATTCAAAAAAGGTCATGTTCAATTGTTTTGGAAAAGCAAGTAGTTTTTGCGTAATATACGCTTTAAATTTACGATTTTTTCCCCCTCAAAAATCTCTTCAAAAATTTTCTTTAACTCTTCTCCACCTATATAAGAAGAGTAAAAAATATGGTTTTTAACCCATTCTCTGGTATGGCTCGTTTTTTTCCAAAATTGCAAAAAGATTCAAAACTACAAAATTGAAGATAGAGATTTTTGCCTCAGATAAAGTGCTGCAAGAAAGTATGTGCTGTTGTTCACCACTAGTTATTTTTGTACCTCATTTGCAGTAATAAATAAAAAAAACAATTATTATTATTATTATTATTATTATTATTATTATTATTATTATTATTATTATTATTATTAAATATATCTATGATCATTTGAGTTGTTAAATAAAATTTTATGTATAGAGTTCTTGTTGATCATAATCAGTACCTAAGCTTGATTTTGATTACCAGTTTCTTGTAGATTATTGATTGGGTGCATGTTTCAGGTATGCCCAACAATTATTTTAGTTTTGTTAGCAGGAAACTGCCTTGGAGAATACATATGTGCCAATTGGGGAGGCAGAAGAAGCAAGAATGTATCTCAAAACTGAAGATGTTTCACTTGCTCAACCACAGCCAACAATTATGAACATACAGACTACCACAAACACTCCTGATTTCCATTGCAGCTGCAAACAAGGGCGCCAAAGGGGTAAATTTTAATTTATAATATAGAATCTTAAATAAATCCTGGCTTCACTCGTGCCTTGCAAAATATAGGAGCTACCCTTCACTGTGCCCTTGCAATTTTACCTCTCTGCAGGGATGAATGATGGCTAAATGTGGGAGTATTCATACATACCCAAGGAAACATCAATGTAAATTGCTGGCACAGGTCAGTGTATTGTGCTTAGAGGCAAACCATAAACATTCTTGTGATGCTCTTCAAATATTTGGTGGAAATATTATCTTATTGAAGGTTGCACAGTTCATCAGTAGATCAGGTCCCAAAAAATTGATTGATTCAGGGGGAAAGTGTAGTTGAGATATAGTAATCTTGGAACATTCTGTATTGGGGTACTTTCCTTGCAGTCTCAGAAATTCTTAGTACAGAGGAATTGAATGGGTGATTATTGTGGGGTGCATCTTCTAGACAGACAAAACCAGATAGGATACTTAAGTAAATAAGCCTATCTGGCTTTGGAGAGCATGGAACCCACAAAGTAATATGTGTCAAAAAATGGTGGATTTCGTAATATTTTGTCAAGTTATTTTTTTATTGAGATTAGAATACAATTAACACTGACATCAATATAGTACAAAAATATTTGCATACTCCCATATAAGAATATAGCACAAAAATATTTTGGGACAGAGTACATTGCAGTTAAAATGAAGGATAAGAAATTATGAATTTCTTTGGTTATTTCAGAAAATCTTCCAAGAATTGCAGCTGAAAGAACTACCATTCGAATTTTGCATCCTCCTGGTGGACCATCTTCTGAATGATTTTGGTGAGTAGAAATAGATTTCACTTAACATTTGTTTAAAATATCTACATTACCTCATTAAATGTTTGTCTTACATTTTTTTATATTTATTGCAGATGGCTCATTGATTGTATATAATTTTCTTCTTCAAATGACCATGCATGAATAAAAATATATTTGAATCTGCTTAAGCAAATGCAATATCTCATAGATGTATCAATAATATTTGTAGAAAAGGGTAATATTATTTCAACTCTAAATATAAATAGTAATATAAATATAAATATAAATATAAGTCTTAAATAGAAATATTTGTTCTATTTCACTTAATCTTAATAATGGACTATCTCACATAAATGTATTAATATTAATAAATTATTATTAAATGTATTAATAACAATATTGTCTTTCTAGAATGATCTTTCTTTATTGTTGATTTATTAGAAACTTTTGTACAGTAGTTTGAATGTTTTCTTGTAATACAATGTTACATTTCATTGTTTGATAGAAAATGAATATTTATTGGTATTTTTCTTAGTATTTTTGAAAATCATATCGCATTTATAGTAAAAATGTTCTTTTTTAAAACTACTTTTCCAAGAATTTTCTTTTCTTGCATTAACAACTCATGTGCATGTAGTACATGTTTTGGCAGCTACTAACATGTGGAGTGTGAAGAAGCAAAAATCATTTTGGCTTCATTTACTTCCTTTGGTGTGAACTTATGATGCAAATTTATGTGAGTTACTTGTAAATGTATAAATAGCCTAATGTTTAGAACCAATTCTAAAACCTCATTATATTCAGATGTTTCATAGTTCACAAAAATTTGTTTCTTAAATTTGTTAATGTGTTTCATGCAGGACTTGGGAGTCCCTATCCAAGAGAAGCACACTAAAAATGGGATTTTGTGTCAATGGTATTTTATACCATTAATATTACACAGTTACTTCTTTTGCTTACTTTATTTGCAATCATATGTGAACTGTGTATTATTGAAGATTAATGAGTGTCATGCTTGGTCAGAAATAAAAGATGAGAGAGGAGTCTTACTCGTTCATGTTCTTCCCTTTCCCAGGGAAATGGTCACCTTGATGGTTTGCAAGTGAATGATAGTAGGGATGATCATAAAAGAAAAATAAAGACAAAGGAATGATATTTATTGGAATGGTGATTCAAATGTCATAGAGAAGTCTACTGTGCAACCATGAATGGTGGTTCAGATGTCATCGTAAAGCCATTCCATAGTGAAAAACCCACATCTTACATGAGACTTAAACCTGCAATCTTTCATACTTTGTATTTGGATGCTGCTCCAAGTTCCTGAATCACTAAATCAGGCACTGTGTTTTACAAATAATTGATAAGGTTGTATATAAAAATATACAGAAGTTTCACTAAGCACAAATACTTCTTTAGAGTATTTATTATACTTACATGTGGTCATTGCACCTGCAAAGCTGATTATGTGCACATTTAATGAAAATGAGTTATGTCCCAGGAACTACTTAGACTTTATTTTACAACTAGAATTGTACCTTAATAATTCCTTAATTGCAAGAAATGTATTGGTGTATTAACATGCATGTGTATTAACATGCATGTAGAAAAGTCTCCAATGATTACCACAATACAGGTGGATACAGTTCACACTCTCTCACACACCTCTGATCACCTCTAAATCCTCGCCGGAAATGTCCTCTTCCTCTAAAACATCCTTTGGTGTCCCTTCTTAAGGGCACCACCTACTGACTAACATTATTACTATTTTTACCAACCTACACATATCTTAAAGCTACTATTTACAGATACATTCACATCACTAAACCCTCTCACATGCAATTGCCATTCCCACATGCAATACAAATAAAAATAATTATTTGAGAATTCTTTTGTGCCTTTCATGTAAAATGACATTTACTTTACTTTCAAAAGGCACAACATTATTATTATTTTTTTTTCACTTGTCAATCAGTAAAGAAACTCTAGCTCTCATCACTTTTGTGGATTACTCTTTAAGGGCCATTGAGTGTATCTTGGAGTACTTCTAATCAGAATACCATCTTGGAGTACTGGTAATCAGAGCTGTCTGCACCAAGTACCTGCACAACCTACTAGATCTTATTAAAAATTTAGTTACTTTTTCTTTGAATAAGTTAGTCCTAAACTATTAATTGACCCCTTGATGCTGGATAGTTGAAATATTTTCCTTTTTGAAGGTAATATCAATCAAAACTTGAAATAATATTTTGTTTGGCAATACCATTGTAGGCTACAATTTATTCTAGAACATTTACATTATTATTAGCCACAGTCAATTCATTGAGTGATGTAGACCTCTTCCTCACTGATGTATGCCAGTAATAAGGGGAATTGGTACAGGACATTTTCCCCTGTGGTGTTCCATTTCTGGTTGGGAGAGATACATGGAATAGAAAAAAAGGTATTGGGAAAGGAAGATTGAGCACACTCTGTGACTTATTACATGAGGTGCTATTCCATTAGAAGTAATCAGTGAAAGTAGAAAATCATGGACACCACTGATCAAAGCAGTTAACTTAAGAATTCAGTGTCAGTTGGTACCACAAACTCACTGATGTCCATCATGTCAAATATTTTAAGGTTGTAGTATAAAACAATTAGTTTGAATGACAAAAACATTTTAACAGATGAAAATATTTGACACACATTTAACATAATAATACAACACAATAAATTTTTTCACTCATTAGTTTGTGACCTTTATGAAGTGTTTTGTTTGATCTTAATCCTTTCATTGTCAGTCAATTAAAATACATAGAAATTGAGACAACTGTATGGATTGAGTCAGCAAGAATCTAGTTTATGAATATCTTTGAATAAATGTTGGTCATTCAAACTAATTGAATCAAGTACTATAAAATATGTAAAGCACAATTAATGATGTAGCATAATATTTGGACATGAAAATTTTAAATAAACTTAATCAAAAATTTTAATATGTTCCTGATCATTTCCCTGCTGAACTTTTTAATAATTCCCAAGTTTATTCTGAAATTATTACAATTAGTAAGCCTAGCATAATTATTAAAACAAATAAACATCTGACTAATATGAATTGTAATAAAATATTATTAAATTTTTAATACAATTTTACTCTGCATTTGTGTTATTTTAACTGATTTTGCAATTTCACTTAATTACTCTGTTTGCTAGGACCAATACATTAAAGAAATCCTTGAAGTTATGATCAAATTAAAAATGCATTTAAGCAACTTTTGTATAATTCAATTTCCATAATTCTTAAATAAATGTAATACAATACTTAATCACTAAATATTGCTTCTTTGATAATACAGTGCAATTAGACAAGCTGTGAACTGAACATATTTTCTCTGCTATTTTTTCTGATGTTTGCTTGAAGCAAACAAGAAAGCACAGGAAATTCTTAACAAATCAATGCTTTCAATTGAGGTAATTTTTACTTTCCCATATATGTACTAATTTACGGAGTAATATATGTAATGTAGGAAAAGTTATGAAATGCTTTGGAAAATCGATTTTGAGATTTTAATGGAAATACATGTTTTGGGGTCCCGAGATAATGAAAAGGTGTTTTTTCCCAAAATGTCCATCCGTTTGTCACTCTGTGAACACCACTAGTGCCTAAACCATGTGTGTGGATTTGTTTCAAATTGAAGAAGTGCCTATCTGGCTTGAGTCAAAGCTTTTGAAAAAATATTCTTTAAAATATGAGGGTACATTACATGAAGCCCCCCAGACATATTCAAAATTTTCTCAAAAACGACTCCTAATTTTTGCTTTAAATTTCTTGTAAGAATAGAGTTAAATACACTTATAAAGGTGGCATCAATCTGATTTTGACTGATTGTTCTCCATAGTGATTTCTTTCATTAAGGTCACGCAATTTTTTTGAAAATTTTAGTACTTTTTGCATTATTTTGCAATATGTACAATTTTAAAAAATATCAAGATTTTCTCAAAAACGGCTCCAACTTTTTTCTTCAATCTTTTCCAACAGATAGTGCTAACTGCACTGTTTAAGGTGACATAGAATTAATTTTGCTGTATTCTTTTGTTTTCTCAAAAATTACACAAATGTAGTTTTTTTTGAAATATCTCCCACAACTTTAATATTCACACTTCCAGTGTTTTGTAGACACTGTTGCAGTTGTGACTGGAAGTTCTTGAAATGAGTTCATATGCAGTTTTTCAAAAACTCAATAGTTTTCTGTGAAAAAAGATTCAAATTTCGAATTTACTGTGGATCAGCTACCCTAGGGCTCTGCTTTTCGCTGGGCACCCCTGAATGTATTTATACCTTGAGATCAAAGAAAGTAGTGTAAAATATTAAAAAATTGTATTCAAGATTTTGAACCTTAATATTTTGGGAATTGATGAACTATTTATTTCCTCTCTTTACATATTTATATTTACATTTATTGAATTTAAATTGGTTTTGAAATATTGAAAGTAAGAAATACATTACATAGTTTGTATGTGCAATTTATTGTAAATTTTACTCTACTATTTTACTACGATTATTAATTATTTCTAATTTTCTTCACAAATGAAACTGATATTGCTACGACTCATGTTTTAAATTAAAACAAAAGTAAGAATGACTTATATGAATTGCAATTCTAGAAATTTCCCAAAGACTTGTTCATTCAATAAAACTATTTTGATAATTCAAAAACCAATTCTTTATCAATATTTTGAAAATTCAACGGGCGCAAGATAGAAATTTGCACATTTTGAGTTTCCCGCTCGATTGGTTACCTGTCGGCTAGCAGAGTACTATGTAAGTCAAAGGAACATTCTTAATTGGATTGTCACATCGTTCTCATTGACTCAAGAAATCTAAAATGCTACAAGGAAGATAGAACTATTTCCGCTGAAGTCCATTCTTGCAAACATTTTAATCTGTTAAGTAACTCAATATAAAACTTATTGAGTCATTTTACAAGACTCTGACTTCAAAGCAATCAACTTAGTTATGAACCCGCCCCGCCCGCCGTATGAGTAATTTTGTTCTTTACCACTGTTTCTTGATGACGTCAAAGCACTTCGAATGTTGGTCCCACCCTAGTTTACCTCTGTGCTTTTCTTGGTTACGCCGATTAGATTAGAAGTGCTTGTTCGTGTATTCGGTGCAATTTTATCAAATTTAGTAGTAGTAGTTTTATTTGGATCGAATTTGCAAGCAAGAACGTCGCAGGAAGCTGCAAGTCAAATGTAACAAGTAAAAGTGACGTATACTCTACAAAAGCGCTTCTGTAGTTTCATTTGACATTTCGTGTAATACTACGAAACGGAATTGAAGTGATAATTGAAGAATGGCAGATCACTTTGCTCCAATTACCTTAAAATGGGATCCAAAGAATTTGGAGATCCGCACAATGTCGGTGGAAAAAACATTGGAACCTCTCGTTTTACAGGTAATGAAATGAAATAATGTAGTTTTGTTATTTTTGAGGGATACCGTACGGTTTTTTAGAAAACGAATTCTTTGAAATTATAAGTGCAGATACAAGTGAATTACCAATGCAAATGTCAGTTTAATTATCTTGTTAATTTGATTTGTCAAAAGTTAATATTGTTCTTATTTCAACTTGAGGTTGTTACTCTTAACCTCGAGAACAAATATTTTTGCAAAACCTTTGTATGGTTGTGGTTTGTATTCATAAGGTTAATGTAACAATAATCTTCATGTTTCTTAAGGTCACTACATTAGTAAATACCAAAGGCCCATCAAAAAAGAAAAAAGGTAGATCAAAACGTGCTCACGTTCTGGTGGCAGCTGTGGAAAAGGCTACAGAAAACTTTATTGAGAAAGGTGAATTAATTGCCTATGAAAATCCAGATATTAAACAAGAAATGTTATCTGCAGTAGAGGAAGTACGGAAAACGGGTGAGTGTAGGGTAGTGCTGAGATTTTTTTCTCTTGTACAGAAGATTTTGCATTTTATTCTTCAGAGTTATTTGCTGTATGATTTTTACTTTAGTTGTACTATAGTTGCTATCTTTCATTTACATTTGAATTTTTATTGGAACATTAAAGATGATTGAAAAGTGTTGAAAATTGGTTCTGAAAACAAACAAAAAAATTTTTTGGATAATGCAAATTTGGGTTTGCAGGTGAATCCATGAGTATTGCAGCCCGAGAATTTGCTGATGATCCTTGCTCATCTCTCAAAAGAGGAAATATGGTTCGTGCTGCCCGAAACTTGCTTTCTGCAGTTACTAGACTTCTAATTTTGGCAGACATGGTGGATGTGCATTTATTACTGAAGTCCTTGCGTGTTGTAAGTTGAATTTTAAACTTTAAAAGGATTATGTGTTGTCAATTTAGATGATCAATTATTTTGTGTACCAAATTTCTGAAGAGCTTAGGAATGTGTGTAACCTTGAATGGGATTTTGTAAATTATACTGTTTTTGCAGGTGGAAGATGATTTGGAAAAATTAAAGAACGCTTCTAGCCAATCAGAACTTTTGGACAATATCAAGGCATTTGGTCGCAATGCTACTGAGCTCATGAGTCAGGCTGCAAAGCGGCAGCAAGAACTGAAGGATCCACAATTGCGAGATGACCTTGCAGCTGCTCGAGCAGTTCTCAAGAAACATTCCACCATGCTACTCACTGCCTCCAAAGTAACACTTATGTTTTTGTAGAAATTACAGTTTTAAGATTTGTTAAAATGTTTATCTTGAAAATTCACTCATCAATATTAGATTTCATTAACTTGTTTATGCTAGCAGTGGTGAAATATTTTTTGTTTTATTGTTTGCTTATAATTCTATTTTCTTTTGTGGTTCAAAAAATTTTTATTGATACCTAAACTGAAGTGTCAATGATAAAATGTTTTTAATCTGTAACTCACACCTTGTAATAATAGTATTGCTCCATACCTAATTTTTTTTGTTGAGCTATTAACATATATTGCTTGAAATGTTCGTCAAGAAATGCAGTTAAAAATGAAGATTGTACATTTTTGTAGGTTTATGTTCGCCACCCAGAGTTAGCTGCTGCTAAAGCCAACCGTGACTATGTTTTTAAGCAAGTGTGCGAGGCTGTGAACACAATATCAGATGTGGCCCAGGGCAAGGGACCAGCCATCCCGCAACACCCGTATGATGGGCCTGGAGAACTGGCTGCTGCACTGGATGACTTTGATGTAAGTAAAAGTCTATGTGACTTGCATTTGAAATTTTTTTTAGAATGTCTTGATTAGATTGTTAAATATTTACCAAATTTTTTTTAGATTTAAGTGTTTGTGTACAGCTTCCAAAAGAGGTGAATTTGAGTGTAAATTAGCATATGAAGTTAAAATTATTTTGAAATTATAATTAATGGAAACCTTTAGGGCATGACGAAGAGTGTAAGGTTTTCATATTATAGCAAATATTTCTTTGAAAAATTTAATAAAAAAATGTGTAATTCCAATAAAATTCATATTAACCATTTGTGTCATCATCATACAGGCGATCACATGCCTATGAATCTATTCTAAAAATTGGTAGTCTCGGTAGTTACAGTCAAAGCAAGTAACAGAGGTTAAAGTAAGGTACACGGTACACCCTCGGAGAAGCGTGGCGGGCAGGGAGGGGGTGTCCCTGTAAGTCCTAATTACTCTATGTGCCCTAATAGAAATGAATAAAACTTATGGATAGGTGATTTTCATGGTTCACCCTTCATATGCTTTGTCCCCGCTGCATTGTAGTGCCAATTTACTTTCAAAGGTAAGTTTTCTCGTTTCACTCGCCCGGATCCAAGTCACGGTGAGGCTTGAGCCTTTGGCCCTCATGTTCACTATAAACATCCTTGAGTCTAATCACCGCATAATTACCAATTCACTTTTATAAGAAATCATTTTTCAAGAGATCCTCCAGAATTCAATCTACCTAGTTATCGCTGGAGCGGCGCGAAGTGCCGGTTTAAACAACTTCACTGTCTAGTACTAGTCTTCAGCCATAACAGAAACCAGAAGACCTTCACTTTGATTCTGGTCAGGGTGACTAATGCTTTGAATATTAAAATGTTTTGTTATTTTGAATATTGTATTCATATAAAATATTGTTTAATTTAAGAATGTCTGGGAGTTTTGTGTAATGGAATATCATTAAATCCATTGATAAATAAATGTGTTATTTTCAGGAACATGTTGTCATTGATCCTCTCACGTATAATGAGGTGAGGACCCGTCCTTCACTAGAAGAGCGCTTGGAGAGCATCATCAGTGGGGCTGCTTTAATGGCTGACTCATCATGTACACGTGACGAACGGCGAGAGCGGATTGTTGCGGAGTGCAATGCTGTTCGCCAGGCTCTCCAGGACCTCCTTTCGGAATACATGTCTAATGTAAGTTTGGAGCATTTAAGGTAAACAAAATTATTTACTTCCTGAATTTGTATTAAAATGTGCTGTTTTACTCTCTTGGGCATTTCAGTATCTGTAATGATGACTGACTTATCAAATGTAATTTAAGTTAAAAGAATTTTTATCAATTCAACTTTTGTTAATATTACTGTTTATTTGGTAGTTTTCATTCAAAGTTGTTTGTTTCCATAATAGATGTTTGGATTGTGCTTAAAATTTTGTTTTATGAGACTTCAGTGAAATGTTAGTTCAATAGATCAGTGATTGTGTTTGAATGTAATTGATGGGAAGTTGCTGAGCTATAAAACAATCTTTTTTTGCACACATCTCACAAGTATTTGTTGTATGTTCTAAGTATAAAATGTCTTTCTTTAGTATAGATTTTGTAAACTTTCTCCTGACTCCTGACATGTAAATCGCAGATTTCATGCGATAGCTATTAATGACAGGATATTTAGCTGAAATTCTCTTGCTCTTGTGGCAAAGTTGCTTGCCTTTCACCACTGAAGTCCCGTGTTCGATTCCCGTTGAATCCCCTAGAACCTCATACGAAATTTGAAAAGACAAAATGAGTTTGCATGCTTCATAGGGGCTAGTTCAAATATAAAGGTTAGTTTTTGTTTAGTTATTTAATGAATGAATTCAACAACAGTCCAATATTTTTTCACCCAATGATTACTGGTTATTCTTAAAAAAGAGTATCAATGAGAAATTCAAACCATGCAATACAAGTTTTAAAAATAATTGTACTATTAAGTGAAGTAAAAAGAGAACACTTAAGTAAAAAATACACAGGAACAATTAAAATACATGTCGACTTTAAACATATAATGTTACAAATTTAAATCTAATTTAAACAGAAAATTCCAATCTAAATAAAAAAAAATCATGATTATTTGAAATCTTACACAATAGGCAAGTAAACGTTTTTGGGGCTTTTCAAAATTGTTTCCTTTGATGTTTTCACAATAGAGAAATGAAGAAATGGCCAAAACTTTCTCAGCAACATTCAATTGAAACTATAATTCTTCAGTTATTTGACATAGCAGAAAGTAAGTCAGAATGGCATGAATAGGTTAAAGAAACAAAATTTTCTTGATCCTCAGTCAGCTTCACTCTAATTGAGATATTTTTTGTCTGTTAATAGCATCTTAATCTCCTATAATTTTGTTATCAGGCTTATTTCACAATAATATTAAATAAAATATACGTTTTGTACAGTGTTTTGAAAAATCTAATATTACTTCTGGCAATAATGCAAATTTTAATTGCACTTAAAGGAAACGTTTACAGTTCATAAGTTGAAAAACGTGTAACAGATTCCAATATGATGATAGTTATTTTTAATTAGAATTGGTTTTAAAAACTGACGCTATTTACTCAAATGTATGTTTCCTCACTTCAGAGATTTATATAGAACATTTTGTGGGAAAATTTTGTAGTTCTTCTTAGTTTTTCTGAAATTGCTGTAATTGATTGTGATTTTTTTTCACCACTTTTGTAGTTTTTTAGGTGAAAATAATTCTATGTATTACTGACTGTTAATTGCAAGTTTTGATTGAAAGCATGAATCATGAAGTCTTTAATTATTTTAAATTTATATCATTAATACATTTACAAACTAAAGCAAGTAAATTAATTTAATTCTCAAGAGTACAGTATCGGCCCATAACAATTTATTTCTGTACCAAATTATTTCTTTAGGTCGGATCAAATTATTTAAAATTTCATTTAAAATGTTTCATATTAAAAGATCAATAATAGTGCAACATCATGGTAAAAGTGGTTTTTTAGACCAGAAGAAAGTTGCAGAATGACATCCAAAATATTGGTGTTTGTTTCTGGGATGAAGTGTTTCCTTGACAACTATGATTCTGTTGTATTAAAAGTTGTATAGTGTGAAAATATTTGAACTTTTAAATGTTACAAATGTTAGATTTTATTTAACCTTTCTTATGTCCCTCACATTTAAACTTGGAGTTTACTTCTTTGGTTAGAAATTGTGATAAATAAGAGCTATAAATGCCATCTTAATATAAAAAAAACATTCTAAGGAGTATATAGTTCTTGTATTACAATACAATACATGTACGTATGTGTACATATGTACATGTTGAACCAACCTGTATGGTATACTTCCAATCAAAGTAAGGCATATTTTCAAAGCACTTAACAAAATATTTTGATGTCTCCATATTTTTTTCTTTTAATTTGCATAATTTTGTTTGTTTTGTGTAAAATATTTTAAAGTGGGTTTTAATTAAAACTGGAACTTCCTTATACTAGGTTGTTGAATATGATGTGGTTGCTATATTTAAGTAGTACCATCAAGATCATTGCGCAAGTTTCCAGATTTGAGGCATTGTGTTCATTGAAGTGTGTTTTAATTAATGTGCCCTACCACAGTTTTACATAGTGTTTATAAATTTCTAGATGAAAGTTAACTTGAAATAAATGTAAACGTGAAAGCTGTGTACAATAAGAGGGTATTATTGCAATGCATATACATTTATTGTATTGCCTTATGTTTAGAATGACACCATCAATTTACCACATTTATTGGAGAGATATTTGAAGTATGTGTAATATGTCATTTCTCAGTATATTTTGTAAGAGAATTACATTCTATGCATTACAAGCATTACATTCGTAGCATTTATGCATTACAAGAAAGGCTGCAGTACTGTGCACTACATGTGAATTAATATGCTAACAAAATTAATTTTTGGTCTCCTATTTTTAGTTTTTAAGTATTTGACCTTTTTTTCTTTACTTGGCTCCAGAATTAGTTGTGTCCAGCAATTGTTAATAAATGTATTTTGATGTTTTTTTTAAACACTGTGACCTTTAAAGGTTTATATAAGCATTGCCACCCTGTACGCATTTGAAACGGAATGGTAATTTTTAGTGTCGATTGTATTTGGAGTTTTTTGGAATTTTTGTAAATAGGAATTTGTATTTGGAATTGCTGTCACTCCTGGAGTTGAGTAGACTGTCACTGTGACAGCATTGTGGCCAACCCCTGGGCTATGGACTGTCTCTTACTCACTGCTTCTGTTTGTCCTCAGCTGCAAGGTGGCCGTGGTGGCAAGCGTGGGGAACGGGTAAATATGAGTGTGTGCGTGTGTGTGTGTAGCACTTTAGTCTCTTGAGTCACTGCTCTTTTCTGCTCCATCTAAAGTCTAATGTGAACTTTTCCATTTCTCTTGGCAGACATAGATGCCTTGCTGGAGCTGTAGTTATCCTTCCACTTTCGACATTCTGTGTTGGACATTGTTATTTGCATAATTCTTCTCAGAGATATTTCTGATATGTAATATAATGAACTTACAGGCTGTATTTTGGATTAACATAAATTATAAAAATAGAAGATAATATTAACATACATTTTATTGTTCTCTTATAATTGTCAAACTCTGTAAATAGTATGTTAATTATTGTTAATCTGCTTTTTTAAGGTTACAAAGCAAGTAAATTTTTTTTGTTTTGTTTATTTTTACATAATTTTGTTTTAGTACACAACATTTTTCAAATATAATGTATATGTGAAACTTTTTTTGGGTGTCAGAATATCTCGGGGATCAATGTAAAATATAACTTTTCTCTTGGTTTGAAACGTTGATTTGCAAATCTGGTTCTAAACCTCTAAAAAATTTTAGTAATGTTTTCACTGTGTATATTCATGTACAATTCCTGAGGTTTGTAGAAATGTAAATGTCTCACAGATCCCTTGATGTCATTTCCACTTGCATGATTAGAAATCTTCAAAACTCACTGACTTAATTGAGCTTTACAGTTTGGCCTCTCTCCTAGCTCGGAAATTATTTTATCTGTTCTTTCTGGTAAACAGATTCTTATTTATGTTTCATTGAGTTTGTTCATGTTCTCATTTTGAAATGCTTTGTCGGAAATAAACATTTACATTTTTTAGTTTTATTGTAGGCGAGCTTGGAATCTTGTGTGTGAAGTGAATAACGCCAATCATGACTTTGTTAAGAGCTGGAACAACATCATGAATTTTTAAAAATTAGAATTCACATCAGGCAGATTCATTGAAATTAACTTTAAATACCAATATTTTGTTTCATTGTTCAAAATTACCTTATTAATTGAAAAGAAGTTTGTGTAATTGTGCATCCTATTTGTTGCATTTACCCTGTCCCGTGAGAGGGGTGTTAATCAATTGAGTGAAATGGAGTGAAGATTAATGTACTCATGTCATATACTGTTGACTTCTACCAGCATTTTATATTTGAAATGTATGAATTATTGGCTGTATTTTAAACTGAAACCATTGGTTTCAAGGAAGTGTCTTGATGGTCACTTTGGTTATCCATCATCTTCTTATTACTATTACTTCAATTCATTTTGGAAGTTGACATTTGGTTCACTTTTGAAGTGAACAAGGACCGAGTTCAGGACTGAGGCTTCATTGTACTGTGCTTTTTTCTGTGGATGCTGTATAGCCACCTGTCACTGTCACAGATTGTTCATGTTTGTGTCCCAATTAATAGAGTAGTCAAGTGTGTTCAGCCAGGCCAGCTAAATGGTGTCACTGTCTTGCTTTGTTCTAACAGCATTGGTGTATCCTGTTTTATGCTAACTGATGCTGTGCTCCTAGTTTCCTCCTCTACTAACCACAAAGTCTGTTTGAGATGAAGAAAACTGAAAAAGGGAATTTCCTAATAATCCATTTTTGTAACCGAAATAATTTGTACATTTTTCTCAAAAGGTACATTACATACTTTCATACTCTAGATCAGCTGTCTTTAACCTGTGGGCCGAGGCTTAATTTTTGGTGACCCACATACAACTAATAATTTTTTGTGCAACCCTTTGCTGTGGTAATGGAAAAGTACAAAAAGTATTTTTAGACTATTCTTTTTCAATTTATTTTTATGTATTGAATTGCAGTATAACAATGATTTAAAGGGAAAATTTAAGAATGCAGACATTTTAGAGTTCTCCTCTAAGCATGTGGAAAAAGACAAATTTCCGGCAATTTCACATGTTCTGTTCACAGCGCAGATTTTTGTTCATATACATGTGAGCAGCTTTTCAGGATGAATATTATGAAGTCAAAATTGAGGAACATACTTTCTGATGCTCTTTTAGAGAACTGCCTTTGAATGTCTTCTTCCAACATTAAAGCCAATGGTATCAATTGCCAATGGTAACAAAAGCAGTGTCAGGTCTTCCTTTAAATCCAAGAATATTACTGTGCTTAGTGTTATTCAATAACTTACAAAAAGGAAGACAAAATATAAAACATTTACATGTAGGCCATGTAATGTTAAGTGATCATTTTGTAATATAATTATATATTTATTTTATATGAGTGTTATGTTATTTTGTTATTCAGTGCAACTATCTAGTGTCTCATCGAAAGTGATTCTTTAGTTAAAAAAGGTTGAAGACCCCTGCTGTAGATATTTGTGTTATTTGTGTTGTACATGGAGGTGTTGTGTGCGCGCGTGTGTGTTGTGTGCGCGCGTGTGTGTTGTGTGCGTGCGCGTGTGTGTTGTGTGCGCGCGCGTGTGTGTTGTGTGCGCGCGCGTGTGTGTTGTGTGCGCGCGCGTGTGTGTTGTGTGCGCGCACGTGTGCGTGCGTGTGTGGGGAAGTAAATTCCTCAGAGCTATTGCTTTCATTTCTTAATTTGTAATAAAAGTTACCATTGTATTGCTGGTCTTCTGCTAATGAAAAATGATCAAGTAAAATTTGGTCCAGGCTGAAATGATAAATAATGCTTGAGAAAATGCTTTCAGAAAAATCCTCTTTGTCACTTAAATGGATCTGGTCATATTAGAGAACGTTTTGCAATCATCAAACCTCATTGAGAGGGTTAAGTATTAATAACCATGGCATATGGCTTTGTGATGATTCAAGGCAACGTGACTACCAACATTGTTTTAAAAACACTGATATGAGTTTGTCTAAGTTTCTTTTTGAGAAAAATGTAAATTATGTGATAAAGATAAAGCCCATGTTTTATTTTCAGTTTTGAAAAATTCTACATTAATGCGTGTTGTGTAGTGGAAAATGAAACTTTTCTCAAAGAGACTTTGAAGCACTATGTAAAATACTGATAAATGGAGTGCACTGAATTGCGTGTTTTGAAGTAATTGCACTATGTGCTGTAGCTTGCTGTCTGTGTGGCTAGTTAACTCTGGTTTCCGTAGTGGCCAGTGTGTGTTGTTCCACATGGCATTTATTGGATTGAGGAATTCACGTGTGTAAAAATATTTCAGATGGGCACAAAGGAACAGAGTGAAGGATTGGAGCGTGCCCTGGACCATATGTGTCGCAAAACACGCGACTTACGTCGGCAGCTGCGGAAGGCTGTTGTGGACCATGTGTCTGACAGGTGAGCAAAGATTTGAGAAATGGTAGACAGAGACCATCGTTGTTTCCATTGATCAATTTTTAGACATAATTCTGTAATCTTGTTAGTTAAGTTGTTGTTAGTTAAAGAATGGTAAGTATTGGTCTTCTTGAAGTTCTATCACAATGATGTCAAGGTCGATGCCACCAGCAGAAGCCCATGGCACAGGTAGCACAATGAAATTACCCGTCCTCTACAGAAGATCACCTCGCCATGAGAGCAGTAGTGCCAAAGTCGCCACGAAGCACGCCACTGCCACTAGAAGGAGACTTTGCTAGTCTATCAGAGCCTCAGAACATGAAGGAATTAACTTGTAAAAGGGCTAGTTAAATTTAACTGATAGCATAGCATTATTGTTCATTTAGTTAGACTCCATACCAGATTTAATTTATTTTGTTAAAGAACAGTAAAAACTCGGTGTGACATCTGGGGAAGAAAAAACAACATACGCATATTAGATAGATTTGATATATATGTGCACAAATTACTTAATTACAAATTTGAGTTAAACAGGATGAACTTGCATTAATATCCCATGTGTCAAGTCAGAACAGCTCAAATTTTTTGAATTTCTGAAGATGGTTCATTCCACCATAATAATATAGTATAAGAAGTGAGTTCCAGAATATTCATGCAACTGCTACACAATTCTTCTGAGCACCCTCTGCACTCATATCCAGACAAGGAGGTATAATGGTTAAATGAACTGACTGCCCACTGAGTGAATGACCATTGGTAATTCGGGTTAGTTCTTCTCTCTTTCATAATTTTGGCTGAACATTTATGTCACTGTATACAAAAAGAAATTAAGTAATATTTGAACCAATTTTATGGACAACTGATTTATTGTAATTATCGTTTGATTTGTTTCTACCACACTCTTCTGTTGGCCTCCCACAAGAGTCCTTTAGACATAATTCTAAATATTATTATATTACATTTTAAAGTATTAATAGTAAGCAAACTTTTGAGAATTGATCTTCATGCTATTATCTACAAAACATTGCTATCCAAACATGTAAGCTTAATTAAAGGCTTGTTAAGGTTACCTATTGTTCATTGCACTGTAAGCAGAACACTTGTTTCCTGTCCTCATTTCCCTGCATTATATTTCATCAGGAAGTTGGCTATTCTGATAAGTCTAACTGTAAATGTATGCATTAGTGCGTGCAGCATGATATTGATGATGCTGAAATGCCGAATGATATTGATCAAGTTTGAAGCCTTGCAAAGGGAAGAGGCACATTTTATTCTAAGTAATGACATATTGAAGGGTATTGTCTTCACATGAAGGGCACCAACTGTAAAAAGTAAACAATTAAAGTTTTTGGATGTACCATATGAAATGACGTAAGCAAATAGTACTGGTCCATGCTGAGGGACAAAGAATTGATACTGAGGAGAGTGTCAGTAACTGGGGTAAACCATAGGACTGGAATTGAAAATTATGCTGTGGCCCACTGAGAGGGATGGATGCTCTCGTAAAGGGTTAAATAAGTCTAGGTTTGGAAACTGCAGAAACTAACATACAGAAGATGCACTCACCCATTTCATGCTATCTTTTTGAAATTCAATTTTTAAAATTTGTTTTTTGATAATCACTCTCTATGGACATTCAGTAGTGATATTATTAATGCTTGTATATTTTATCTCTGTGGTGTTTACTGTTTTACAGTTTCTTAGAGACAAATGTACCTTTATTGGTACTAATTGAAGCTGCTAAAGCTGGCAATGAGAAGGAAGTTGAAGAATATGCATTGGTATTCACAGAACATGCTAATAAGTTGGTGGAGGTAAGTTCTGTATTCTCTTCATATTCATATTTATTTCTCTTGGTAATAAATGAACATTTGACTCTTTCTTTTTAATGTCTAATACTCTGTAAGAAGTTATGCTGCCGTAAAGTATTTATTAATTATTATTTAATGCTGCAGAAAAATGTGTGATATTTTGCCAAAAAACACCAATAAAAAAAAATATCAAAAATGGTTTTCATTTTTCTTTAATTAGTTTACTACTTTCTTGTATTTGTAATGTAGTCAGAATACACATTTTGGAAGTCTTTTGATACCGACAAAGTGCTTTTTTACAAAATTTGTATCTTTCTGCCTGTCTGCGAATGTTACTATTGCATTAACTGTGCACAGAATTTTTACTAAAACGGCAGATATCCTTAATTGATATGGACAATGTCACAGGCCCTCAAATTTCAAACAGATGTTTTAATTTTTTGAGGCAATTAACATGAAGCTGGGACATTTTCTGAAATTTTCTCAAAAATCATTCCAAATTGTTTCTTAGAAGTTTTTGGAATTAAGAAAAGTTTGCTTAATAAAATGCCATAGTCCTCTGAAAATAAAAATGTTCAATTTTTTTATTGAACTTGGCTTTGAGTTTCAATATTGAAGTTGGTTATTTTTTCTTAAGGCAATTAAGAAATCAATTTTAGATCTTTCAATCATATTAGCATAATATGAGCATTGGAGTACAAATCCTTGGAAAAGTAAGTAATTGTGTGTTTTTTTTATCTTGGAACGTAGGATGGAACGTAATACGCTGAATTCTGTGTCTGGAAAACTTTTTCAGAGTTAAATTTTTAATTTGAAATTTCAATTTCTAATTTTCAAAAAGTTGAAGATTTTTTCCAAATCTTTAATGCTTTGTTTGGTTAGGACCTTTATTTAGTGATGGCTCAAAGTGTTAGTTGAATAGAAGTTGCAGTATTATAATATTACTTACCTATTACAAGTAACATGAAAAAGTATGTGCTGTGGCAGCTTCACTAGTTGTTATCATCATTATATGTTACTTCTGTGGCATGGATGTCTTTAGGAGCTTTCTCATCCCAACAATCTTATCAAATGTATTATCAAAAGAAAGAGAGGTAAAGAATGGCATTGTAACATTATAAATGTTAAGGATTTATTGAAAAAGTCTGTTTGAATTGGGCAAGTTCAAATGCAAAATGCAATGCACAAAATCCGTAATGGACTGTTTCTTATTGCATCAATTGTTCATAACTCAAAAATGCTGCATTGTAGGTTCCATGTATTATGTGAATAACAAAAATTTTACTGATGCTGATATTTGATGATATATATGTTATTTCCATTTCTTGTGAATAGGTGGCTAACTTAGCTTGTAGTATGTCGGGAAATGAAGATGGTGTGAAAATGGTTCGATATGCAGCTGCTCAAATAGAGAACTTGTGTCCTCAAGTGATCAATGCTGCCCGTATCTTGGCTGCTCGACCTCGTTCCAAAGTTGCCCAAGAGAACATGGATGTTTTCCGTGATGCCTGGGAGAATCAAGTCCGCATTTTGACCGAGGCAGTTGATGATATAACAACCATTGACGACTTCCTTGCCGTATCTGGTAGGTGTTCAGGAGATCAATTTTCTCTTGTTACAGGATATTTTGTTTGAATTGTTTAATTCTGACCAGTGAAAAGTCTACTTTTAAATTAATTTTCATAGTTAAATTACTGTAGCTCAGATATTTATAAGCACCAATAAACTATAAAATAAGAAAGCAAGAATAAGCATTAAAATGGATAACCAAGCTCTAAAATAAGTGAAAACAAAATCACAGGTATTGAGTAAACTATTAGTTCCATAAAAATCTTTTTAAAATCTGAAATGGTACCATTGCCTTATTCAAAGCTGTAATTGCATACTAGGAAGGTCATTTGAGATTTTCCTATGTGACACTTATGTACCCGTCACTGAAGTACAGTGAAAATTATATTTTAATGTCAAATTATACATGTAATTAATATTTCTTTTAAAGAACATTTTCACTGGCAGTTTTCTTGAATTACAACAAAATAAAAATAAATTGTTTTATGCAAATATTATCCAGTTAGTGGAATTACAAAATAATAGGGACTATCTCAGATCCAGCAGAAGTTTGCTAATTTTTGTAAAATAAATGTGAATCATTTCTGCATGTGACTCTTTGACCATGTCTCCCAATTTAGTTTGGCATGATTGAATGTTTATAATTGGTTACATGATTAAACCAACTATACATTAATCATTTCAAGGCTTCCCAAATTTAAGATTCTCAACGAGCTGAAACTTCCCCTTCTGCCTTCATTACCAAACTGTTCTTTTGTGCATTTAAGTAAATTTTTTATTAGCTGATAAAGAAAAAGTAATTGAATCGGTGATAAGGACAAATAGAAGTGAAATTTGCACATTAAATATGTCAGTGTTGAGTGAATTATTTCAAATCGATCATAAATTTCAAGCAAGATAAGATTCTCTGAAACTAAGCATTTATTAGCACTTTCAAACAAGAATAAAATGGCTTATCAAGGTATGTTTTTCTAAGAATAACTAAACTGCAAATCTTTTGAAGTGTGGTAAGGAATGACTATTAAGTGTAAAAATCTGAGCTTTAATAATAACAACACTAGTAGGAGATGTATCATGAGAAAATAAAAAGGACCTAATCTAAAACTTTTGTTGTGAAGCACTTTCGAAATTAGATTTTCTTGTTGAGGCTATTGAAAGACAGTTAAACAACTTTTTTCTTCATTTGTTCATGATAAGAGTTGGAATGTTTTTTGTGATACGCTCTAGACGTTTTTATTTAATAGATACATCCTACAATATATGGGTATCTTTGTAAGTACATGTCCTTAATATTATTCATTTTCTGCAGAAAACCATATACTAGAAGATGTGAACAAATGTGTGTTGGCCCTGCAAGAAGGTGATGCAGATACACTTGATCGCACTGCAGGAGCAATTAGAGGACGATCATCAAGGGTGTGCAATGTTGTGGGAGCTGAGATGGACAACTATGAGCCAGGCATATACACTGAGCGAGTGTTAGAGGCAGTGAAAGTCTTGAGAGACCAAGGTAAGACCCTGCTTTAAGCATTCTTTTTAGTGGCAATAGAATGGAGTTTCTTTTTTTTTTTTTTTTTAAGATTAAATGAAATTTCAAATAATAAACTTACAGCAGGCTTATTATTATTTATTAAAAATAAATGTCTAGTTGTTTTAGAAAATGTTCTGACTTATGCTACAAAAATTTCAGAAATCTTTGTGTTTTGGGTAGTTTTTTACTTTCTTGCATACTACATATCCATATTCCATGTCAAATTGCACAAATTTAAGGAAAATTTGACCTTGGATGTCCCAGATTTTAAAACTTTTTTTTCTGCGAAGAGTACAAGCAAAAATTTCATTTTTTCCTAAATATTATTTTTTTAGATTATATTAATTTTCAAAATTTTCGAATAAGTGCTTACGTTGAAAAGTTATTCATTTTTAACTCATGTGTAATGGTGACAAATTTAATATTTTGCAACATTGAAGAACAAAAGATGCTCTTTCATTTGATGTATATATTGAATTCATTTAATTTTTTTAAAATCATTTTTTGACCTATTTTATTTGTAATTTTTTAAATTTGTCCCAATACTCAACAGTTTAAAAAAAACAACAAAAAAACATTGATACTGCTAAAAAGTCCTACATAAGTTTGGTAAGTTACAAAGTGGGACATTGAGTTGATTCTGAGAAATTAAATACAATAGAAATGTGTACTTGGTTTTTTGCTGCAGAGTCTGCTTATGATGTTACCAAAAAGCTCGCCTGTACGTTTTGTGCTAAAAAGATTAGAACACTAATGTGAGAAAGTCTGGGTCATTAAACGCCCCACTAGTTTATTTTTGTAGAAAATCAGAAATAGAGAATATCAGGCAGAGATACTATGTAGAATTACTTTCATGAAGAGTGAACATATTTTTATACTTTTATACCTAAGGATAACTCAAAACCCAAATTATTTACCTCCTGTGTGAATCCTCTACTAAATTACCCTGCCTCTTAATCTTTTCTATCCTCCAATTATGAGAGGTTTCTTTGACTATTGTATTAATTACAACTAGCATACCCATGAGAAAAATCTTGCATGTTGAACGGCACTCTTACTCATCCTTCCATTTCCATTTTAAGGGGAAAGTTGTTAAAGAAACAAGCTTATTTGTTTAAAAAATGAATAAAGGTAACTTCCAATGTATTCTTTAAAGTACTCACAGAATATCGAAGAAAAATAAAAAAATAATGCAATTTGTATATGAAGCAAATTTTCAATAAAGATTTGTTAAGTATGTTATCCAGATGTTCTCAACACTTTCTTAAAAAACATTTGATATACCTCTACAATCTTCCTTGATGGTTTGCTTTTTGCTTTCCTTGATAATCACAAAAATATTAGAAAAGCTTTTAAACTTGAGTAAATTATGTAAAGTAGTCCATGTGAAACATCGGGCAAGTACATCCCTACTTTTTGTTGTGTTTGAAATTGCAATGGAATGAAGTATCAAGAAGCACTGAAGCAGCAAAAATGTAATAAAATGGCCCAAGATTATCTCATTATGTAGATTCTGGTGTGAGGATCATTCCTTTGAGGCCTTTGATCTCCAATTTTCGGGTTTTAAGACCCAAAGTACTTTGTTTTGGAGTTATATAACTGTATAGTTACTTATGTTTTATAGATATAACTATATACTAGATTTCAACAATGCTGCCTGGGTCATGTGAGTTGTATTATGCATGAATATTTAGATGCATTTTCTTTTTTTTTCTTCTTTTTCTTTCAAGAAATCCATATTTTTTTTCTATTCAAGTGCTTTTTGTCAATTCTCAGTAAAATTCTCTTTCTTTGTAATTTTATTCTTTATAATATTATACAAAACATGAGTTTTTTTTTCTTTCTGCAAACCTTAGGAATTGATGTCCTAACAACTAAACAAATATCATTTACATACTTTATCTTATTTTTCACATGAATTTTCTCTACATTTCACGTTTTCTTTTACAATTCATGGGGAATGGTTGAAATTTGCTTAAGACATTGTCATTTGCTTAGTGATTAAGACAAAATTTTATTAAATATTTCTCTTCACAGTAATGCCCAACTTTGCCCAGCGTGTGGAAGTTGCTGTTGATGCCCTTTCTTCTAATCCCCCTAAGGATGTAGATGAAAACGAGTTCATAGATGCATCAAGGCTAGTTTATGATGGTGTTCGTGAAATACGTCGTGCTGTCCTCATGAATAGGGTAAGATACATTCACTGGCATGTGGTATGTATACATAGAATTTAACACAGAATTGATTCCAGCTAGTGGTTTATGGCAGTTAACTTCAGAAATAATGCTGTAATCTTATCGAGTTAAACTTTTCAAGTGAGTTATTAGTATAAATTTGATTCTCCTAAATGTGGAGCTCATCTTAAAATCTTTATTATGTTATTAGATAATTTATGTGGATTTACATGACTACATTTATGATTTCTGAGAAAATTTCAATTACAGTAAACTTTTTTCGAAATAGTTAATTGGTCGTTTTTATTTATTTAAAATGCGCTTTCAAGAATAAATCAGAATATTCTTTTCCGCTAAAATTTTCTTGATATAATTTTTATACTATTTCATTATAACATTTCTGTTATTTTGAAGTCCAGTATCGAAACTTCTGTTTCGAATTTCTATCTACTTATTAATTTTCAGTTTGAAAACTTGTAGGTGATTTGCCAAGATTTATTCCAAATGCAATGACTGTGTATAAGGTGAAGGATAGCTGGTTAGATAATTTTGTGATGGGAAGTACGGAATTGGCCAGGGTTAAAAGCATGCATGTAGTGAGAGGAAAAATCTAGCTATTGTCAGAAAACTTAATAAGTCAGTTGACAATGTAATTGCTATCAGTTAGGTTGTTTTGTTCAAAGATAAAAAAATACCTAGCATTGAAAGGAGCGCAAGGAAAGGGATGTAATTAAATCAGATTTCATTTTTTGTTTTCAATGAAAATACTATTATAGATCATATTATAATAGAACACTTTGAAATCTATTTTACTGATAGCTGAAGTTAAGATTTCATAGTTGTATTCTCATTTTTGTCAATTCTTGAAAATTATAAATCAATTAAAATGTATTGTGAACTTCATTAATTGTTAAATTAGTGAATTAGAATCTTTAAAAACTAGTGGAGTATTGATTGGCAAATACTTCTCACCAAAGTTCCCAAGAACAAACATTTATAAATTGTTTTGAATGTAATTTGTTGTTAAGAAGGGAGAGGTGATATATTTTAAATTCATATTGTAGAGTGGTGTTGGGCTTCTTGTAACAACTAATGGACAAAGCGCTTGCCTGTGTCATTTGTAACATTTATTTTCCTTTGTGTCTGTTATAAAATAGTTTATTCTGTGGTAAAGAGTGTTTAGTCCTGAAGAACAAAAGATTTTCTCTATTTGTTACATAACCCTTAATAATTGTTAATAGATACACAAAATAGTATCTTTATAACATTTTATACACATAAATGATGCAACAGCCCTTCTAAAGCATTAGTGAAAGTCATACACCAGACTATTTGCAACTTTTGGAAACTACCAATTTCTCATTCTTAAGGAAAAAAACTGTATTCTCAAAATTTCTGCGTTTCAATTTAACGTTGTATTGTATGAATATATTGATGAAGTTTACTCAGGCAAGGGCAGTGTGTGTTTGCCAGCTGCTCAAGGTTGGGTCCTTGGGCACCTGGTTGACCTGTCGCATGTGGGGAGGGACTAACCTGCTCTTGTTTTCTCTTCAGACGGATGAGGAACTGGACCCTGAGGATGTTGAGTTTGATGAGCATTACACCATAGAGACCAGGAGCAAATGTAAGCACGGCTCACTGGAAAACAGCATTTCAGCAAACTGAGTGGTTCATCTGTACATCTGTGGGACGTGGATTTATGACTTTGGTTGAAAATTGACTGTAAAATATTTATTGAGAGTGTTCTTTAAAAAAAGAAAGAAAAAAAAAGAAGCAAAGAAACAAACAAAATACCCTTTCAATGTTAAAGAAAATTGAATAGCAGGCATTGAATGTGAATGTTTTATTTGAACCACTAAGTATGTTGTAGTGCTGGGACTATCCTTTCGTAGAAGTAAGATGTGTGTTGTGGCCAATGTTTTCAGAGTTCTGAAGAGCTCGACACTGATACAGAGTTTGAACCCGCGGAGGAGCAGACGATCGATACCAGGAGCAGATGTAAGGCCACAAAACAGACTTAAGGGCAGAGCCTGGTAACGGTTGTCTTACTGAAGCATTCGGCTTCAATAATTGGAATAAATATCAGCTTTTTTGCATTTAAATGGAATGCATTTTATTTCAGTAAAACTTTGCAAGTTTGGAAAAAATTTTGTCCAAATTTTTTATATGATGCTTAATGTACTTCAGAAATTTGTTAGTTGTATGCTTATAATACCATTATTTACTATTACATTAAGGTGAATAAAAATAATTAATATTTGTTTTGAGTTGGTTACGCTAAATAGCAACTGTAATTATGCAAATGCATATAAATTTAAAGAGGGGCAAATATACATACACATATATATATATATATATAATAATATATATATATATATATAAAATATATATTATATATATAATATATATTATATATATAGATTATAGTATATAATGTAGTATATATCATTATATATCATATATATTATATATATACTATATATATATATAATATAATATATATATATGAACGTACTTAATATACTCTCTAATATATATATAATATTATATATATTAATATATATATATATATTTATATATATATTTATATATATATGTTTTATATCTGTATTATATAATTTATAATAATATTTATATATATATATGTGTAATGTATATTTGCCCCTCTAAGTTTATATACTATTATATAATTATTATATATATTATAGATATATATATATATATTTTTTATTAATCAAGAATAGAAATTGAAAACATGAACTTGTAGCATTAGTTATTAAAAAAATATTAAGTATAGTTAAAACCAGAAACAATTTTAATATTTATTTTCAATTGTTTCAAATATTCATGATTACAAGTTTGTAGTAATGAAATCGTGAAAATTTGTAGAATATAACCATTAATTTTTCATAAGTTGAAAGTAATTATTTTGTATAAATTGAATTAAAAATCATTAAGTATTTATAATCATATTTGCAAAGAAATTATTAATTGTTGTAATAAATTAACATTGTATGTTTTAGCGAGTGCACACACTGGAGAACATGGTGTTGATGAGTATCCTGATATTAGTGGAATTACTACAGCAAGGGTAAGCAAAATGTCCAATTTACGATATGGAATGCTTAGTTTCTTGTCATTTATTGGCCCATTGTGTCATATCTCAGGTATTTATTCTGAATTTCTAGGTATTTAGTGTTTATGTTAATGATTTTTCATAGAATTTTTCTAAATTAATTAAAAAAAAAATTGTTAATACTGCTATACAGGCATTTTGTGTCATTATCTTTTATTTCTGTAGGAGGCTATGAGAAAGATGACAGAGGAAGATAAGCAGAAAATTGCTCAACAAGTGGAATACTTCCGCAGTGAGAAACTGAAGTTTGACCGTGAGGTGGCAAAATGGGATGACACTGGAAATGACATCATTGTTCTTGCTAAGCATATGTGCATGATAATGATGGAAATGACAGACTTTACTCGGTAAATATCAGTTGATGGGACTAATTTTTATGTGCATCTGCTGTGGAATAACACATCAGTAATAATGATTTAGAAATTGTAACAAATATGGAAGAACATATGGTAGTTGCAAACATGTTCCCATAAATTTAACTAATATGGAAGTTCCTTCTTTTAGAGGTCGGGGTCCTTTGAAAACTACAATGGACGTTATTAATGCTGCTAAGAAGATCTCTGAAGCTGGAACAAAACTTGATAAATTAACAAGGCAGATTGCTGATCAATGCCCAGAATCTTCTACAAAGAAAGATCTTTTGGCCTATTTGCAGAGAATTGCCCTGTATTGTCATCAAATGAACATTACTTCTAAAGTAAAAGCAGATGTTCAGAACATCAGTGGAGAGCTTATTGTTTCTGGGGTATGTAGTAATAAATGATAGCATTTCATACATTTAAAATAATTAATAGCAGAGTCTATTTGTAAATACTGTTATCTAGTGCTCTATTTCTTGTTGAGTAATCCTTTCTTAATCATGGGTTGTCTTTTGCCACATTTTCTGTTTAAATTTGTGGGTCAAATTATTTGATAATGTTTGAGGTATACGCTTATTTTTTCTGGCAATTGATCCTGAGAAGAAAGATGTAGTGCGGGCCCAAACGGCATTAATAATCTTTCAGAAAATTTACAGAACTGTCAGTCTTTGAAAGAGGAGTAGCAATCATTCAGTAATAAAAAATAAATTATTGTTTGTAATTCATAAATCGTTGTCCGTAGTGCCATTATTATCAGTAAACCCATCTCAAGCGTGAGTCAAACATTTTTAACCTTGAAGGTCCCTCTTTAAAGAAATTAAATCTTACTTGCAAAGTAATAATTTTTTGGCAATATTTAAAGTAAGTTTATATAAAAGGATTAAACAATAAATGTTTTTGGTTGTGATAAGTAATCACATTGTGTAATTTTGGATTATATGATTGTAAATGAGGATTTTATTTAATAAGAAAAATGTTGTTATTCAGAATTTAAATTGGAAAATGAACCAGGAGTTTTCTATAGAATATTAAACCCTTATTATCCTTGATATCTGTATATGCAGTCATTAGTGAATGTCAAAATATTTTGGGCTGAAGTGTAAGAATAATGCCAGGATTTTCTACAAAGGCCTAGTGCTAACGAAGGCTATTATGACATGGAAATATCTTGGGGGACAGTTAGGTTCTATTAATATTGGGATTTGTTATTGTTTGAGATAATATGTATCATTGAAGGATGTTGATTCTTTACAATTTGATGTGCTCTTTACAGTTGGATAGTGCTACTTCACTCATTCAAGCAGCAAAGAACTTGATGAATGCTGTAGTGTTAACTGTCAAATGTTCATATGTAGCATCCACAAAATATCCTCGACAAGGCACTGTTGCTGTAAGTATCTTCCAAATTTATATAATTTAACAAAATGTCTACATTGAGTTTTGAACAAAATACAGTAAAACTCCATTTTTACATTCTTGCATTTTATATTTTCCTGCCTTTTCGTAATTTTTTGTTGGTCTCGTTGAAAAGCCTATATTTACAATGCATTCTTTTCCCGCAATTTACTTCTTGATATGAAGAGTGCTTCCCGTCTTTGACGCCTTTATTTTTTAATTTATTTTATTTTATTTTTTTACTTTCTCATAAACGTACGTTTTTATACCTAGTGCTGAGAAAAGTATGTTATACTGCGACAAAAAACAGTGATTTTTTGACAGAAAAACTCGTAATGATACTGAAAAGGTGGATAAAACCTGCTCCAATATGAAGTGAATTACTACATATGTATATAATGAACTTGCGAAAGTTTCGTGTTTGATCGAGGAATATAAATTTTGGAGAAAATGAGCTTGTGTTGACTACAGACAGGTAAACGGACGTTTTCAGCCGGAAAAAACCCTGTTAATCAATTTTGCTGTTTCAAAGACCCATAAAACAGGGATTCAAGCTACACCACGTGTTAGAGGAAGTAATTTACTATACATACAAGTATGATTTATCCATTTTTTCATTATCAGGGCACGTCAATAGGAGATTTTCTGATGAAAATCGTTGATTCCGGCGCATGCTTTAACTTTCTCTTCTTACGAAGGGTGAGAAAGTGAAAACAGAGTAACCATTGCGGTAAATAATGAAAGTACTCACCTAGCCTATCATTTTCCAACTTTCCTGTATTTTACACTTTTTTTCATCGGTCCTCTGAAAAGTGAAAAAGAGGGGTTTTACTGTATGTTGAGATTCTAGAAATTTATATGTATTCAAAATTCACTCAATTATGCTATTATTGTAAACCTTAAGTACTTTTCAGTGTAAATGATTTTTAAAATTAAATTTCTAGTTGAAAAATCTCTAGAAATCTGGAATATAAATTTTGTCACAATGATGACTTTGTTTCAGATGATTAAAAGTATTATTATTATTACTATTATTATTTTTATTTTTTTACTATTTTTATTTTTATTACTATTATTATTGACATTTCAATTTTGTAATTTTTCTTTGAAGATAGCTTATCAAGATTGTGTATTGGAAAGATAATTACGTCTGATTTAATGCTTTGCTTGCAGTCACCCATTGTTGTTTGGAAGATGAAGGCTCCAGAGAAGAAGCCGTTGGTGAGGCCAGAGAAACCGGAGGAAGTGAGGGCTAAGGTTCGCAAAGGTTCTCAGAAGAAAGTGCAGAATCCCATTAAAGCACTGAGTGAATTCCAAAGCCCTACTGAATCAATATAAGGAGGAGTGTTTGAAGAAGTTAGATAAGGTACTATGGGTGAGCACAAAGATAATTATTTATATTTTCACGCCAAGGAGAGATTTGTTGACTTGTTTTTGCGCTTCCTGTTCTCCCTATCATGGAAGGTATCTCTGGACCTTGATTTTTACCATGAAATTTGAGTAAGAGTTGAATGAATTTTCAGAGATGCATGTATTAGAAATGAAAGTGTGTTCTGCTCTCCTCTGCCTAAGTGTGCCCAATGTTGTACTTAATCTCCAATATTTTTGTAGTTAATGTGAAAACCTTGGGTACCAGGGCAATGGACTCGTGCATTCCTGATTATTCTGATAATTATATTCTTATTGTGCACTGTTTCTGCCCTATTTCTAAGAGCACAAATTTAATCTGTTTTTCTCTAATCAGCAATTCCATAAGAAAAAGCTCATCCTTTAGTGAATTCTAAAGAGAGCTACCATTCCAAGAAAATCATTTTCTTGATCATTCGTGTTATCAATGTTAATTGGGCAGCTAATTTATTTTCTGTTATGAAGAGTATTTTTAACCCATACGTTATTTCAATATTGTATATGTATCTAATGATTGTGATGGCATTATAGCGTAAGAGATAAGTTTGAGAATTCCCATTGGCCTGATTTTCTTCATGTGTAACCTGAATTTTTATAATTCTATCTTCATGCTTGCATTTTTGTGTACACTGAGAGTGCTCTTTTTTATGAGAATAGCGCAAGACCTTTTCTCATGTCTGGTATGTCTGTGAGTATTCAGTGTTAGAGAAATGGCAACTTGTGATGTTGGTAGAACTTCCTTTGTATTTTAGCCTAGTCATTAGCAGAAATTAGTAGAAAATTACACTATACATACATATATATTTCAACCTTGAAGTATTTTATTCAATTGTACAAGGACATTAATAGTTTCTCTTCCCATGAGTAGATTTCATGAGGTCTAGTGGCAGCTGTGTCTGATTGTTGATTGAGGTTTCTGGTAATCAATAAACAGGACCAAAGTGGATTTGTGCAAAATGTGGTGGTGGCGGCAGTGGCAGCGGCAGAGTTCAACTCTAATAAAGGTGAAAATAATAAGAAAGTCCAGTATAGTTTGTACATTCCACAAACACATCATGAATGGATTCTGGTATTCATGTTTGCTGACCTGAATGGCAGTACTTCTCTTCCAGTTCTATTCGGCTTTGCATGTGTATCAATGCCCCTATTTGAATAAACTTAATTGGGCTTACTGTTATTTTCTCAAGGTGTCATTTGAATGAAAAGATAATTTTGTGTGATAATAACGTGTTCCTCTGGGTTATGAATATTGATAGTTTATCTTACTTAAGTAATTGACCTCTTTCTTCAAATTGCTCTCTGCAGTTAGTAAGGAAAAGAGGTCATTGAACAAGTGTATTTAATCTGTGGGAACATACTCGCTCAGCTTCATTTAGATTGTCTCTTGCTGTTAAGTCTTCAGAAAATGATTGCATTGAGACCAGTCTAAGAAATGTTTCTTAGAAACATTACTCAAAAATACTTTCAAAAATATTTTTAAATGTAAATTAAAAGCCAAAAGTAATACTAGTCTTGAAATGGTAATTGACTACTTGTATATGAATGATTTTTGACATTTTCTGCTAAGGCTGCAGCACTCATCCAGACTGCAGTTGTGGTCTGGAGCAACTTGGAAGTTGAAGTTTGGATGTATGGAAATTGTGACAATTTGTTGTTAAACCTAACAAAACTTGTTTTAATTTATACTTTATGGTTTCTTTGAAATTATTAATATCTTCATTACCATTCACTTATTTATTGTTTTTTGAGTGATAGTGATGTAATGTTTAATACCAGAATCTTATCATGTTTACTTACTGTTTTTGAAATTCATGATTGGACATGCTGAATGATGTAAGAGTGGTATGCATTTAAAATACATTTGTCTTGAAACCTCAGAATGCAACTTGGGAACTTGTTGTGAATGATGTAGACTGAATAGGAGGGGTGAATATTTTGTATTACTTCCTGTAACTTAAATGATTTTAATGAAATTATTTTTATTGTAGAATTAAATTACATACTTGTATTTCCTTTTGTATTATTCTTTGAGTGCTCATCAAGCACACAGAACATGCTGCACTGTGAAGTGGATAATCAGTGTGACATATCAGTGAATTGTGCTTTCCAGTTGTATTTTTCACTGAGCTGTCAGCAGTTGTGTGTGCTTGTGTTGAGAACATATAATAGAAATGTAAAATCATTTTGTATTAAATACATTACCTGCAAACAATGCATGCATTTTACATTGTATTCCAAACACCTTCCAATTGCCCTTACAATTAGTAGTAGTGGAAGTAGGGTATGGTAGGTGCGAATCATGAGAGATGCATCTTGGTTGTAATAAATTATTGGTTTGGTGAGACATGTGGTGATATGCTATTTCTGTCCGTGCCCCAACTTTAAAGTGAAAATACACATGCTTTATGTGAACTTTCTTTTAGCTTTGTGTGGTTTGACAATGTCAATGCCTTTACCAGTGAGATAGGCCTTATACGTCAGTAGTAATATAATAAATGAACTGATTACTCAGCATTACCTGGGTATTTAGTTTCGCAACAATTTTTTAAGTGTTATGCACAGATAGCCTCCATGTTCCCTGGCTATTGTGACACCTAGTTGCATTGAGAGTTTAGTAATTTGTAGTACAATTTTTTAGTTTAACCAGCAAAATTTAAGAGCAATAGGTCTAGTAATTAAAACATTTTTGTGAAACTAACACATACAAACTTTTATGAATTAAGACAAGAACTGGAGTCCATTGGTTGTCTGTTCAGTGCTGGTTTAATTTTAATGTTTTGTAACACTAATATATAACAAATAATTGTTTTAGTTGCCAACTCAAACCGGAAAGCATGGTTTATGAAAATTTTACTTGTGAATGTAGAGAATGTAATTCAAAATCGATAATTTCAAATATTAAAACTTTCTAAAATTGTGAACGATGTGAGTAATGCCCTAGAATGCTTCGTTTAGGAGTTATTTAACGACGTAGATTCAAAGATGCTAGAGTTGCGGATTGAATTTGCAATCAATATTTGTTTTCTACAGCACTATCTAGTGGAGTTACAACAGTGGATTTATAGTGGTGGGAACTGATAACGCCCTCTTGAAATACTTTCGTGATTAGCTAGTCAGTAAGTCGACAAGCAAGTGAAGTCAATAAGCCATTTTTGGAGCAAATTACGTAGTGAGAAGCAATTTTTAAAAAGACCAGGGTGATTTATTGATTATAAATAATTTTAGAATTAAAGTACTACCCATTTAGGAACAATATTTCTGTGAAAATTCATGCTTTTTATGTTTATTACATATATTAAAATGTTTATTTGTTATATTACCCATTATCATTTGTTTCGCTCACCTGTTAGCTTAAGGTTGTATGAAGGTTTATATTTTATCATGATGACTAGGGGCGGATTTCTGACACTTTGAAAACGAGAAAATGTGCCTTTATGGCTGATTTATTTATAATGCATAGTTAAAACAATACTTTAATATAAAAATGGATGTTGGTATATATAAGAGCGGTTAGCTCTATCATCGTGACTGTCTCCTTGAAAGTTGCCAACCACATTTTTTTTCACCCAGAAAGTTTATGTGCTGTTAATTATGTTGTAACTCCACTAGATAGCGCTATAGAAAACAAAATATTGATTGCAAATTCAATCCACAACTCTGTAGTATTTTTGAATCTACGTCGTTAAATAACACCTAAACAAAGCGTTCTAGGGCATTAAAAATTAAACTATTGAAGCAAAAGGCCTCAAAGAAACGTTTCTCACATTGTAATCTACATGATGAGTTCTTCTTGAACATTCTGTTACATATTTGCTGGTCCCGCGCTTCCCGATAATACCCACCTGTTTAGAATCTGCAACTAAATGTGAATGAGAGAGAGAGAGAGAGAGAAAGAGAGAGTCAGGTAGACTGAGACAGGGACAGAGAGACAGAAAGAGACAATGAGAAAGGAAGAGGGAAGGAGAAAGAGGGAGATGAAGGGCAGAACGTCTGCCAGGTTCCGCAATTACTTTATAACTTTACCAACCCAATAACAATTACATTTTTGTCACGTAATTGTCGAGATTCACTATACATCAATAAAAAATAAATGTTTATATCATTAAGTGATTAAATAACAGAAAGTTGAATCAAATATGGAAATTCGCCCACCGTAACAAACACACTACAGTCTTTATATGCTTCTCGTGAGTCAGCACAGACAGTGACATTTAGGGATGGCAAAAAAATTAACAAAAAAAATTCTCTTGATATACATAAAATTTCCAATGTCTAATTTTTCTGTGGATTGCTCGCAATCAAGCGAATCGCACGAATCCCTTTCTTTTTCGCAACTTTTCTCCAGTGTTATTACTTTCTTAAATGATTTTTTACCTGGTAACATCGTTAAACTGCATTTTGAATTTTGACTACATAGAACATTGATTCGGAAGGTAAAATGACATTCAAATTAACCGCAGAAAATACAGTAAACTAATATTGTCGTGTTATGTATGACATTAGAAGCAGGACCATTTACTTCGACATGTCTCTTCATATTTAAATGATGGATGTTTTCATCGACCTCGCAAAACTTTGGTTGATGCTTGGACGTGCCGAAATGTCTTGTCTTGTCGCCTTGGCTAGTCGCACCAGCGGGCGCGGCCGATGGGAGAGCGCGGGCGCGGGCGAAGGCGCGGGCGGAGGCGGTGGGCGGCCGCTTCGGAGGCGCCGGCGGCGGCGGCGAGCGCGAGCGCGGCCGCGAGGAGCGCCAGCGGCGCCGCCACGTCGGCCAGCGTGACGGGCCGCGGGGGCGCGCTGTGGGCGCTCCGTGCGGGCGGCGGGCGCGGCCACACGCGCCGGTAGTGCAGGCGCAGCACCCCGCTCTCGCGCAGCCGCTGCAGCCTGTGGGCGGCCACCCAGGGGCGGATCCAGCCGAAGACAGTTTTGTGAAATAATCATATTTCTTAACATATTGAACATTATTTTAGTAGTGTATATATGATACTACATTATATTATTTTTAAATAATTGCATACTTCTAATATAAATAAATATTTAAATCAATTTAGCCAAATAAAGGAATGCATCAAACGAAAACTCAACGCCTCTTGGGGGGGGGGGCCTCCCCCTGTCGCTGTTTTCACCCCCCCTGTAACGTGTGCTTGAACAACAGATTATCTGCTGATATAGCTACCGTAAGCGAGAATTTTTAACTTAGAGATACTTGTTAATTTATTTCACATTATTGCCTTAACAAATAAATAAATGATTGAATGAAACCACACAAAACGAAAACAAAATAATTCGCCATTCAAACATACAGTAGTGTTGCCCCAAGACAAAAATGTTTATGCAAGGCAGGTTAAAAAAGAAAAAAACCTGAAATAATAAATATAAAATAATAAATTTCTGGATTTCGAGAGGAAATGAAACGTCAGGGGAAGTTATCCTTGCTCGCGGGAGCACCAGGTTTTCCATGCGGGCGCAGTTTGACACGCCTGGACTAGGTGTATTAGGCTCGAGTTCCTTTACTGTATGCATGTCCCTAGTTGATAGGCAACACCTTGATCACCAAATGTTCGGCGCGACCCGTTCTGATTAATTTTACTTCGATAATTCGACATACACAAAGTTTGTACATCTAATTCAATAAAGCAAGCAAGCAATAAAAGCGAAGGTGCGTATGTGTCGCATGTACACGCAAAACCTACTCGACCGATTTTCCTGAAAATTTTCCACTTTGTTCTTATTCGTAGTGGGACTGTTTCCAGAGTGGTTTGGATTAAATAGGACATTGGGGGGAGTTGATGATTTATTGGTTTATGACCACTCAAGCACCCCTGAACTCTCCGCAATCCGCTGCACAGTCAAGAATTAACGGAAAGTGTTCTGCCCCTTAGAATGTGAAATATCGGCCGGAATTATTACTTGAATCTCGTACAAGTATATCAATTTTCTCCAAGATAGTGTCATAGTGATCGCGTGCCCAAAGCAGGCGCCACCAGCGGCGCCCACACCTCGCGCAGCGCGGCGCCGCGACCGCCGACCCGCAAGGGCGGATCCAGCAGGTCCTTTTGAGGGGCGCATAGATTTTTGTTACGTAATAAACATATTTGTTATTATATTGTATATTGTTTTTGTAGTATATACAGTCGACTCCGCCTATAGTGAACGCTCGGATATAGTGAATAAACCCATTATTGCGAGAACATATTTCATATATTAGGGTGTTTGCACAGCGTAGCGTAAAATGCAATTAACAACCACGTAACCAGTAGTGTGCGATGTGTAATAAACTGCAATGACGATGCAATGCTGGGTCCGTTTCTAAATAAATAATTGTACATTATGAAACGATGATGGAATAATGGGTAATTATTATAAGAGTGTGATATTACTATACGAGAAAGGAACGTGCAAATATCGTAAACTTCACACGAATAATAATACCCATTACATCGAGTTTCATACGGTATGTTTTCTACGACGTATTCTAAGTTTAATACGTTAAACTTTTACATTGAATTGTTTTGTGGCAGTTGACATGAGGGATTCAGGCAAGGTCACCTGGCGAACAGTTACCCTACCAAGCAGTAGTTGGCTTTGGTTTACCAGTCCGTCTACGAGAGTGTATAAAAGTTGCGGCAATAATTCTGAGGTCACCATTTTCGCTTATTTCTGGAAGTGCCCCTCTACCTCTAATTTACTAGATATTTTAAACTAAAGAATTGGCCGGTTTTCAAGGGTAACGGTACCGCAAGAACATTAACACAAAATGACTTGCGTTCAGATCTTAACGTCTATCAAATGTTCCCATTACAACTAATACTGCCCTAATAAAATAGGATCGAAATAAATTTATTTTAAATAATATTTCACGCAAAAATTACATAAAAATTAAAACTGACTCGTCATAGCGTATTCAATACAATTTTAATGCACACAATTTTACGAAACATTTACTATGGCGATTCTCAATTATTAATTAAGGGCCTAAACTTGTCTGTAATTGGTCACGAACGTGTATCATAATGAATTCTGCATCGTGAATGAATATCATTATGCAAGGGCTTGCAGCTATCAAATGACATAATTATTCAGTGGGAGTAGACAAATAACGAAAGAGCTCTCGTGGCTCAGTGGCGAAGTCACCACTGAGGCTCCGTAGAATCCCCGTAGAACCTCATGTGAAATTTGTTACGACAAAGCGAGTTTGCATGCTTCACAGGGGCTGGTCCAACCCCTGTGAAGTGTCCTCAACCTCACCCCTATCCTTATTCCTTC